GTCCAAATGGCATGACTTTAAACTGATAGCTTCCCATAGGGAAGTTGAAGGCAGTTTTCCACTCATCTCCCTCCTTTATTCTCACCCGGTAGTATGCCTCTTTCAGGTCTAATTTAGTGAAGATGCTCCCCTTAATAAGTCTTTTAGGAGGGGAGGTAGTATTTATTTTCTACACTCACCAAGTTTAGACCTTTATAATCGACGCAAAGACAAAGAGACCCATCTTTTTTTCTTTAAATAACACGGGCTCCCACGGTAGATTTGGCCCATTCAATGAACCCCCTCGCTAGGTTTTTGTTCACATATTGCTGCATCTCCTCCATTTCAAGGGGGGGCATAGTGTACATTCTCGGTCATGGGAGTTTGGCCTCTGGCACCAGTTCGATGGAAGAGTCACTGGGTCTGTGAGGGTGCAGGGCATCACATTCTTTTTCAGTAAATGCCTCCGCTAGGTCCCGGTATTCTCTGGGGATGAGTGGTTCGCCTGGTGATGGTGAGGCAGCCATGTGCGCTCGCTCATTAGGTAGCCTAAAGTGTTCCACAACGTCGTTGAATCAGTGGGGGTTTTAGGCCCTATAGGTAGTCTCACAGTTCTCATTCCTTTCTCCCACCAGACAGTTTCCATTTGTCCAACCAGGCTAGTCCTAGCATCACAGTCTCAGTCATTTTTGGAGCCACCAGGAAGTGAATAAACTCCCAGTGCTCACCTATTTCTAGGCATAGGGGCTCAGTTAATTGCGTGATTAGAGTCCCTCCCATCAGGGAGCCATTGGCTTGCTCAAACCTCACAGGTTTGGAGAGCTGTTTTGCCCGTATGCCCATTTTCATGGCAAATGGCAAGCTAATGATGCATTGGGTGCATCCCGAATTGATTGGCACATTTAAGTCTATTTGTGCCCCTGACTTAGGGATTATAAGTTTGACGGGCAGTAAAAAAGGTGGAGCGTGTCTACTCACCATCGGGTCGTTTTCTCCTTCATCATTGCTGTCAAAAGAGGGTACAGCAGGGGCAGCGTCCTCCTGTGTGCGTGGGTGTAATCTGGGCAACAGGTTCCTGCATGACCTGGTTGGATTTCTCTCTCATCAGTCACTGGGCAGGGTTCCTTCTTGACATTGGTTCTGGTCTGCTCTGTAGTCGGGGGTAGGGGACTGAACAGGTTGCTGCTCGATGTCCCTCCTGTCTGCACTGGAAACACTCAATTGATGGGCCTGTAGGTGGCCTGGGTCACTCAGCCATCGCAGTAGTTGGAGGTTTTTGTGGGGGTGATTGCTGTTCAGGTTGCTCTGGCTGCTGCTCGGATTCAGATGGGGGAGGCTTCTTATAGCAGGCGAGCTGAATGTCTAGCTTCACCGCTGCCTGGTAACATTCTTGCAGCTGATCAGGTACTGCTCGATAGATGCAGGCCTGAGAGAGGTGATCGTCTAATCCTTCAATGAAGTGATGGATTAGGGATTGTTCAGGCCACCCCTCTATTCAACCTGCCATCTTGCAAAATTCTTGCACGTACTCCAGGGCAGGCCTGTTGGCTTGTTTTATTTTGTGGATTTGTTCTCCTGCTTTGAGACCAATGGATGGGTCCTCAACTCTTTCTCTCAGCCCTAGGAGGAAGAGGTGGGGGTCCTCCAATTCGGGGGCTTGCTCATTATATAAATTGTTCAGCCATTCGGATGCTTCTCCCTCTTGGCTGGATGCTATCACATCGACCATGGCGCCTGGGTCCGGGTAGAGATAAGCCCAGCAGTTCAGATGAGAGCGCACTTGGTTGAAGAAGAAAATCAGCTTCTCTGGGTCCCCATCGAAGATTGCTCTGAAAGGGGATGCAATTATAGCCTGTTGGGGTCCCCACTGTGGCTGTTGCTGCTGGCCCCATCCTGGTTGCTGGTTCATGCCCAGGGGTTGCACATTCAGGGGCTGTGGCCATGCCCCTGTTGCTGTAGGCCCCTCAGTGGTTGCTGTACATTGGGACAATGACCAATCTCCTTGCTGTGGTCATTCTCCCACCAGCTGCTGATCTCCTGGTTTCTGCACCACCCCAAGCTGTTGCAAGGCCTCTATTAGCTGTGGCAAGCTCAGATGCTGCTGACCATCTACCTGTGGGGGATGCCAAACTCCCCATTGCTGCAGAGGCCTCAGACTGGGATTCCCTCTCTCAGGTCTGGAGTCCCTGGCAGGGGAAGACAGTGTCTGAAAGGCTGTCTGATCTGCAAGGGAGGGGCTGTAGGCTTCTCTCTGCAGGAGTTGATTTCTGCTTCTCACATCTAGCTTTTCAAATCTTTCCAGTGACTCACCCGAATCTTCAGAGGCAGGTAACCTGGTAGCTCTCCACTGATCTGTATTTGCCTGCCAGCCGTTTGTCTGCCAAAATTCATCTTCTCACAGCATGCTGTCTGTTGCTTCCCCCTCTGGGGTATCAGCAGCTGCCAGGTATCGTCTTCAAGTAAACTCCCTTTTCCCCATGATAGATTTTCCTCCTGAATCTTTACCAGCTCCTCTCAAGCCTAGAGACAGCAGATGGAGTTCAGGACCCCAGGTCATTTGAAAAGGATTTAGATCTTGGCATGATGTCATGGTTCTGACTAATGAAACACTTCAAAGAACTTCCTAAATTGTTTTTCCTAAAAAGTCTTTTATTCATGTAACAAAATGTCGGCACGGCATGAATGAGGGATGCCAAGATCTAAATTCTCCCCCCCCCAGCACATATTTTGCTAGCATATTCCCTCCCTTAATTTGCTGTCATAAATCACGTTCTCCAATTAGTTTAAAGGCTGAAGGTTCCCTTCCGTTTGCAGCCCGGGATTTTTATCTAAAATAATTACCCACATACATTCTTTCTCCTCCCCTTCCAGCATCATCTAACTCTAAAAATACCACACTGCTCTGCATATTTTGTCAACGCAATAATATCCAATTAGCAGCATTGACACATCCATTGTGATATGCATTCATTGTGCATACTAAGTGTGGGGGCGTATGTGTGGTCTAGCAATGGTTCTCCTCCTCTCTCTGCAATCAGTTCCAATCAGTATAGCTGGAAAGGGGGAAAAGGTGGCAAAAGTCTTTTATTCTTTACTCACCGTCACTCATGCCCTTGTCACCTCAAGACTGGATTACTGTAACGCGCTCTACATGGGGCTACCCTTGAAGAGCGTTCGGAGGCTGCAGTTGGTTCAGAATGCAGCCGCGAGAGCGATTGTGGGCGCGCCAAGGTACGCCCACGTGTCACCTATCCTCCGCGAGCTGCACTGGCTTCCCGTGGGTCTCTGGACGCAATTCAAGGTGTTGGTTATCACCTTTAAAGCCCTTCATGGCATAGGGCCAGGTTACTTACAGGACCGCATACTGCCGCACAGCTCCCAGAGACCGGTGAGGTCCCATAGATTGGGCCTCCTTCAGGTCCCGTCGACCAGACAATGTAGGCTGGCGGGCCCTCGAGGAAGGGCCTTTTCTGTGGTGGCTCCGACCTGGTGGAATCAACTTCCCCCCGAGGTTCAAACTACTCCCACCCTGCCGGCCTTTAAGAAAGCCGTTAAAACTCTCCTGTTCCGGCAGGCCTGGGGCTGATGTCCCTGAGGGGAGCTGGGATATGATCGGACATGCTGTATGATTGTATTGTTTTATTGTTTTATTGTTGATGATTGTTTTAATTTTGTACACCGCCCTGAATCCTTTGGGATTGGGCGGCATATAAATAAAATTAAATAAATAAATAAATAAATTCGGGGTGCAGCAGGGCTTGAAACTCTCATTCCTCCTGTTTAACATCTACAGGAAGTTAGTGGATATGGTAATCCATTAGTTTGGGGTAAAGTATCATGAACATGATAAAAATAGCAGTTGTATATCTGAACTGATCAAGTAGTACTATCAAGATTTTTGTCCTAGTCCCTACCAAGATTGAGTGGCTTACCTAAATCCAGGGATTCTCCATCTTTAGTCCTTAATGGTGTTATGCCACCTCTTTCAGATTGGTATGTAACTTTGGTGTCCTCCTGGACTTGTATTCCTCTGTGTCAGCAGCTGCTTCCTGAGCTGTACTGATTACTAAAAGACTTCTGTGTTCAATTCAAGGTTCTGATTATTACCTATAAAGGCTTGTATAGCACAGGGCTTGGTTATTTGAGGGACCGTTTGTTTCTGCCTGTCCTGTGCAATCAAATACAATTGGTATACGTCAGATTCAACAATTAAACAGCATCACCCAATGGGACACAGGAAATGAGCCTTCTCTATTGTGGCCTTTGGCCTCTGGCACAACAAACCACAGATTCAAATGACCCCTGCCTTGATCTTGTGATCTTGTTCTTTCCTGAAGCTCTGGGCTATGATGTCATTGTTCTCTCTTTTGTATTGGTTATAATGCTTTTGATGGTTTTTAATATTGCATGTTGTTCAGAGTCATTATGTAATCAATACATTTTAGAAACATAATAAATACATGAATACAAGTAGAGGAAAAAAACAATTCTGGGTAATTGTCAGAACCCATATCTATCTGATTTCATACTTCCCTTGCTCTTCTCTCATATTTCATACTTCCCTTGCTCTTCTTCTCTGACCCAAATTCCATTCTCTTCTCTCCCTGGGTTCTGCCATGCTCCTAGAGGGGAGGGGGGAAGGATCGCTAGTTTATTGCCTTAGCTTCCTCTATCGCTACAATGTAACACTTCGCTTTCCTGCACTATTTCTTTTGTTACTTTCTTCTCCCTAAACTGTCAGCTAGCAAAGGGGGAAGAAGAAAGGAATGCAACCTCCAGCAACTGGCTTATCTCTCCGCTTTCAAGAGAAGGTGCGTCTAAACATCACTGCCATGACCAGATGTTATCTCCCCTTTCCCATGATGGACTTAACACCTGGGGATTGGTTGGTTTGAACCGTCTGGATGAACTATGGGGTGGGGTTTGCTTGGGGACACTTTAACCTATCGATCTGCGTGGGAAACCCTCAGATCCTATCTAGTATGCCTGCTATCAGCTTCTCCTAATAAAAGTTCCTTTTGGAAGAGCTGCTTCCACAAGTTCTGCTTTCTTGGGATGAGGCATTGAAGCAGGTCCTGACATTAGACAGGATCTGCAATAGTAGTCAACCCAGAAGGATGGATCTTGCCCGGGGACTCTGCAAAGTCTACCATGTTAGACACCTGTGCGGAGAAGGAAGAAGCCACGGCAAAGGGGGAGCCCTCCCTCCGGTCGGAACCCTGTCAGCTGTCCAGCTCCGAGACATCCTACACCTTGGAGGAAGAGGTGGTGGAGATGCACAGCCATAAGCCCCGCTGGTCCATGGGCATAGGAAAAAAGGATGAGTGGGAAAAGAAATCGAGAAAGGTGACATTGAGGCGAGGCAGCCACCAACTGGGATGGAAGCAACAGATGGAGAGATCCCTGCACCCTAGCGGGGATGAGGACGATCGTAGGGAGCAATCGAGCTGGATCCTGGAGAAGGCGATCGACCTGATGAAATCAACTCTTGCCTCCCTCAGAGATGAAAAGCCTGAGCCCCCCAGCCGTACCATTACCTTGGGCTGTAGCAAAAGAGGGGGAGTCTGAAGCCGAGGTCCCAGGAACATTAGGTGGAGCAACCGAGACCATAGCCATTGTGGCTGCAGCCCTCACCCCCCACCATGCGACGGCTGCTGATCGGGATGGACGACACCATAGATGACGTAGGCATCGATCCATCCAGAAGTTCCCACCGCTGGACGTGAAGTTTCAAGGAGAGCCATGGTGCCTGGGGTTCTTCCTTACCCAAGTCCTCAACTGCATGGAAGAATACGGCCGAGACATCCTGATTGAGAAGGCTCGGATCCACATTGTGCAGGTGGCCCTGGACGGTGTGGCAGCTGATTGGGTGGTAGATCTGCATGACTCCAACACCCCAGAGCTCCAGAACTTCAACCAGTTCATGTTCTCCCTTACATGATGATCCAAGGACCTGTTGGCAGACCGGAAGGCCCGCGACAAGATTAAGATGGTGAAGCAAGGCAGACGTCAAGTGGCCGAGTACACCCAGGAATTCCAGGCCATTGCTAGCAAGCTGAATTGGCCGGAAGTCATCCTGCTTAGCCATTTCAAGGATGGGCTGAATTACAATCTCTATGATGCCTGCCTTCCCCAGGTAGACCCATACCGATTGCACGATTGGTATGTCCTGGCAGAGGAAGCCGAGATTGACCTGCTTAAGAGACATTGCAGAGGGAAACCATGGAATCAATCACCCCCTGGGCTGTCACGCAAGCCCGCAAACCCACAGCCAAGAAGACCACTGGCTGCTTCAAGTTCGGGAAAGAGGGGCACCACATTGCCGAATGCTGTTCAAGGAACCCTCAGGAGAAGGCTGACTGAACACTAGCCAGGAAGTCAGAGAAGTCGCCCGCCAAGCTGCAAGAACCGGCCATGAAGGGCACCGAGGCCGAGTTCCCCCCCTCCACCCAACGGGGGAAGGGAACCCCAGTCTACACCGCAGAAGCATCCAACTCATCGGACGACAACTCCAAGGATGAGCCCCTGGTAAGTGGACCCATTGCGCCCCTCACCCAGACAGTGACTATCCTAGCCCCTCCATGCCTGAAACTGTAAAGGTTAGAGCTCTACTAGACTCTGGCTACACGCATTGCCTTATTAGCCCAATGCTGGTGGGGACCCTGGTCATTCCTGTGAGGAGGCTGAAGAAACCGATATCCTTCAGTCAATTAGATGGGTCCATAGCAGGGGGAATGCCAGCCACTCTAGCCACACTACTGATCCACCTCATCCTGGGGTACCACGAGGAGACTATAATGTTCATGGTGACCCCAGGCATGGAGTGTCCAATAATACTGGAGTTGGCATGACTAACGAAATGGAACCCCCGAGTGGACTGGAGGACAGTGGAACTCAGGTTACCAAAAGAGGATTGAACAGGATCACCACCCCAGGAAGTTCCCGAGAGTTCCCCTCCAGCAGTGGGAGAGGAAAAACATTGCCCGAAATACCCGAGGAGTACAAGGACCTTGCCGAAGTCTTTAGCGAGGACGAGCTACCCCCTCACCGTCGCACAGGCTGTACTATAGAAATTAAACCAGGAGCAAAGCTCCCAAAGCCTAGATTGTACTCCATGAGCCCCGGGGAGCTACAAGAAATGAAAAAAATTGTAGATAAGAACTTGGAAAGGGGCTTCATTGAGCCAGCTTCCCCAAAAAAGGTAGCGGCCCCAGTCCTGTTCAAGGAAAAGAAAGACGGCACGTTGCGCACGTGCATGGATTATTGCGCCTTGAATGCCATGTACCCTCTCCCCCTCATGAAAGACATGCTATCCCATCTATTGAAGGGTAAAATCTTCATGAAACTGGACCTAAGGGAAGCCTAATATCGCGTTAGGATTAAAGAGGGGGATGAGTGAAAGACGTGTTCAACTGCCCTATGGGATGCTACCAATTTAAGGTCTCGCTGTTTGGGCTGCAGGGAGCCCCTGTGGTCTTCATGCAGCTGATCAATGATGTACTGAGGGAGCACCTGTACAAGGGGGTCCTCGTCTACCTGGATGATATCCTTATATTTACGGAGACTAAGGAGGAGCGTATAAAATTAGTCGCAGCAGTTTTGAAAAAACGGAGAGCCGCCAACCTCTACACAAAGCTGTCAAAGTGTGAGTTTCACAAACAGAAAATTGACTACCTGGGCTACTGTATATCAACCGAAGGCATAGAGATGGACCCCAAAAAGGTTCAGGCATTGCTAGAGTGGGCGCCACCCTGCACAAGAAAGCAGCTACAAAGCTTCATGGGGTTCGCTAACTTCTACGGCCAGTTCATTCCTTCCTTCGCCCAAATAGCCCTGCCTATCATGAACTTATTAAAGACAAAAGAGGGAGGCTTTGTAAAACCTAGTCAGCCACTAACCTGGATTATGGAATGTCAAGCTGCACTCGAGAGACTAAAAAGGCTTTTTTCGGCTGAACTGGTCTTAAAACACTCTGACCCAGATGAGCCGTTCATAATCTAAGCCGATGCAAGTGACGTAGCAGTAGGAACAGTATTACTACAGGAAAACAACAAGGGGCACTTGCAAACTGTGCCTACACATCCAGAAAACTCTCTGACATGGGGCAACATTGGCCAGTGTGGGAAAAAGAGGTGTACGCTGTGAGATGGGCACTCCTCACCTGGCGTCACTTCCTGGAAGAGAATAGAATCCCATTCCAGGTCTTGATGGATCATAAGAACTTGGAGGCCCTAAAAATGCCCAGAAAGCTCACCCCCAAACAAGCCCAGTGGTCACAACACTTCCACCAGTTTACGTTCACGGTCAAACTTTTAACGGGGGAGGAATTTCCTGGCAGATGCCATATCCTGCATGCCCCAGTACAATAGCTCCCAGCCAACCATCTCCAAACCACTCATGCCAGAAGCGCAGCTGGCAGCACAAGTAACCACAAGAGTTCAAACAAAACTAAAGCAGCCAATAGCCAGCCAAGCAGGGATCGAATTAAGGAAGGCTCCAGAAACCGATGAATGGTTCCAGAGCCACAAAAATTTGTGCACTATCACTGACGGCTTGCCATGGCTGGGGGAGAAACTGTGCATCCTGAAGACCCAAAGGATTACATTTATGCAACTCTACCATGACATAAAACCAGCAGGTCACTTTGGATTCGTGAAAATGCTGCATCTAGTAAAAAGACAGTTCTGGTGGCCATCTATGAAAAAGGACATTGAGAGCTATGTGGCCAGCTGTCCAACCTGTGCAGCTGCTAAGAGACTGCAAGGGAAAGCCCCCGGACTGCTACAACCAATGGCAAATCCCTCAGCCCCCTGGAAGAAAATCTCTATGGACTTCATAGTAGAGCTACCAGAAAGTAATGGAAACACAGCAATCTGGGTGGTCATGGACTTATTCTCAAAACAAGTACATTTCATCCCCTGTCCAAAAATCCCCACCACTAAAGCCTTAGCAAAATTGTTTGTCCAGCACATATATAGACTGCATGGGGCACCCCAAGACATAATATCGGACAGGGGGTGCAATTCCCATCAGACTTTTGGAAAGAGTTCCTATCCCTTCTGGGGATCACCCAGGGGCTGTCATCTAGTCATCATCCTCAGATGAATGGGGGGGACAGAACATTCGAACTCAGTACTTGAGCAATATCTAAGATGCTTTATTAATTTCCAACAGATGAATTGGACCGATCTACTCCCTTTTGCAGAAGTGGCATACAACAACACAGTACATTCCAGCATGGGCTACACCCCATTCCAAGTAGCAAAGTTTCAACTCCATGCCGGAACTAAGTGCCATCGAACCGGCCATTCCCTCCTTGAAGGAGTGGATTGAACAATTAAAAAATACCTGGCCAGTAATTAGAAAAGTGCTAGATGAAGCTAGACAGGCCTATAAAGCACAGGCAGATAAGAAAAGAGTTGAACCAAAAGCATTCCTTGTAGGGGAAATGGTTTACCTATCCACAAAATACCTAAAATCCCTGCAGCCATCCAAGAAACTAGGACCAAAATACGTGGGACTGTTCCCCATCAAAAGAATCATGAACCCATAACAGTAGAGTTAGAATTACCCCAAACCCTCAGGCAGATTCACCCTATCTTCCATTGCAGCCTCCTAAAATGAGAGCAGCGATCACCGTTACGACCAGCCATCGTCCCACCCCCTCCTCCCATTATGGTTGACGGGGAGCAACATTTTGAAATAAAAGAAATCCTTGACTCCCGAAAATTCCACGGAGCGACTCAATGCCTAGTAGCATGGAAACACCTTCCCTCTTCCCAAAATGAATGGGTGCACAAATGTCACGTTAGAGCCCCTAAACTATTAAGAAAGTTTCACACAGACTACCTGAACAAACCAGACTAACCTCTCACTATTTGTTTTGTCTCTCAACAGATTGATCTCTCATATTTTTAAGGGGGGCAGGATGTGAGAACTCATATCTATCTGATTTCTTACTTCCCTTGCTCTCCTCTCATATTTCATACTTCCCTTGCTCTTCTTCTCTGACCCAAATTACATTCTCTTCTCTCCCTGGGTTCTGCCATACTCCTAGAGGGGAGGGGGGAAAGATCGCGGGTTTATTGACTTAGCTTCCTCTATCTCTACAATGTAACACTTTGCTTTCCTGCATTCTTTCTCTATTGCTACAGTGTAACACTTCGTTTTCCTGCACCATTTCTTTCTGTACTTTCTTCTCCCTAAACTGTCAGCTACCCTCAAGAGAAGGTGCGAAGAGTCGTCTAAACATTGCTGCTACGACCAGAGCCGGCCCGATGTTACCTCCCCTTTCCCACGATGGACTTAACACCTGGGGATTGGCTGGTTTGAATCGTCTGTATGAACTATGGGGTGGGGTTTGCTTGGGGACACTTTAACCTATTGATTTGCATGGGAAACCCTCAGATCCTGTCTAGTATGCCTGCTATCAGCTTCTCCTAATAAAAGTTCCTTTTGGAAGAGCTGCTTCGATGAGTTCTGCTTTCTTGGGATGAGGCATTGAAGCGGGTCCTGACAGTAATAACCTTTGTCTTCCTGTTGCTCTTTAGTTATTCTGAGCCTGGAATACTCAAAATCTGCAGGCTACCATGAGAAAAGTTTATTTTTCTAATAATAATATATACATTGTAATAATAAGTTATAATAATATGAAAATATATACTTTCAGACAGTTTGCCTATTGTATTATCAAACTGTATGGAAAACACTAGATTTGGGGAATGCTATTGTATTCCTTGGGGTAAATTCAATGGAACTGACAGGTGCAATAAACCAGGAGCTGGGTTAGAATTCAAAAGTACTACAAGTTTATTTCATGCTAAATAAGAATCTGATCTAGGCAAGGCAAATTGGTGCTAGATAAGAGTCAATGGAATTCATGGAAGCCCAGACTTAGGACTCTTGTGGGTGTGTAGAAACTCTAAACTGATAATACATTTGATTCCAACCTTCGGATCAGCCTGGTCATCTCCTATAAGAACTTAGTAGTGGCTATAAGATGCAACAACAATAACAATTGCTGAGATAATCTGTTACAATATTTCTTATATTTTAGGACAGGAAAGTGCTCTGCCTCTTCTAAGCCATGACCCTAGATCCCAGAGAGGTATCTTAAGAAGGGCTGTCTTTTCAGAAGAGCAATGAAAATCTTTGGAGAAAATGTTTCAGAAACAGAAATATATCAGCAAAACAGACAGAAAAAAACTGGCCATCAATCTGTGTCTGAAGGAGTCACAGGTAAAGATAGATTTGGTATAGTGACTTTCCCCCAGATAGTGCTTCTCAAAGGTGTGGACTTCAACTCTTCAAATGGCTGTTGTGGTTGGAGAATGTTTTTTTTTCCCAAAAAGTTTTTATTTTTCAATTATCAATTACATAAACAAAAAAGAAGAAATTTCACATTTGACAAGATACACTAGATGTCACTTGCCCACCCCCCCCGAAACTGCATCCGCCCTCTCTTATACTCTCCCTTACTTCCCTCCTCCTTCTCCCTCCCCTCACCTCTCTCTCTCTTCCCCCTCTCCTCTCACCATCCTACTTCCTCCCAAACCTTTCTCCTCCTCTCTCATCCCTCTTCGGATACAGTACCGGGGAAATGCCCAAGCAACATCTCTCTCATAAGTTATCCCTTATTATTTTACTTTGATCCTATCATCTAACCTACCTACCCCCCCACCCCGACCCCCCTCCCTCCCAATCCCAAAAACCCACCCACCCCAACCTCCCCTCCCCCCCACTTCCCAGAGCTTGGCACAGGGTTTTCAAACATATTAAACAAAATCTACTTAACTTTAACTAATGCAAACTAAATCTAACTAAACCTATCCAACTATACAAATAACAAAATCAATAAGTTACTTTAACTCAAATACAAAACAAATTTAAACAAATTAAAGAAAATCAACTATCAAAATCAAATAATGCCAAATTTAAAACAAAAATTGTTCATAATCAAGACAATACTTTTAATCATATCTACTCTAATCAAAGTTTACCCATTTTTTTCAAGCATATCAAACAAAATCTACTTAACTTTAACTAATGCAAACTAAATCTAACTAAACCTATCCAACTATACAAATAACAAAATCAATAAGTTACTTTAACTCAAATACAAAACAAATTTAAACAAGTTAAAGAAAATCAATTATCGAAATCAAATAATGCCAAATTTAAAACAAAAATTGTTCATAATCAAAACAATACTTTTAATCATCTCTACTCTAATCAAAGTTTACCCATTAAATCCCATATTTATTTTAACTTTAACTAATACAAACTAAATCACAATAAGTAAAACGAAAATTATTCATAATCCAAACAATACTTTTAATCATATCTACTCTAATCGTAATTTACCCATTAAATCCCACATTTATTCTTCATATAATTTATCCACCTTCTCCACACCGAGATGTGTATTTCTTTTGAACAATATAAACTTAGCTCTTAACTCTTTCCCCCCCAAACCCAAATAAATTTTGTGATAACCTTTTCTCCCAAATCAAAACCTTACAACATTCTTATCCACTTTTAATATATCATAATATATCATAAGTACTCTCAAATATTAAATCACCAAATTAAAACCTATCAACTATTCTCTCGAGCAGAAATCATAATTTTAAGCTTTTAAACTCTCCCCTAAAGAACAAAAATTTAACTTTATACATTTATTAAAAGTTATAGTAAATACTCTCAGATATTAAATCCCTAGATTAAAGCCTATCAAATCTTCTCCCAGGCAAAGATCATAAATTTAAACTTTCCCCTAAATAACAAAGATTTAACAAAACTCCTTATAACTAGCCGGCTGATATTCCAACTTCTCCTTCTATTATCTATTGCTTAGAAGATGACGAAGAACCTTCTGCTGTTCCATTATTTTACTTCTAAAAACTGCACGAGTCACGCCCAATTTCTTTGATAAATCTTCTGTTGAAGAGGACTGCTGCAAAGGTACAACCTGCATATTTTCTTCAATCAGCTGCTCTTCTGGCTTTTCTTCCACCTTTGTCTTACTTCTAAAAGCTCCACAAGTACTCAATTTCATTAATGAATCTTCTATCAAAAAAGATTGTTGCAAAGGTTTAACCTGCAAATCTTCTATCAGTTGCTCTTCCAACTTTTCTTCTAATACCTCAGTTCTAAAAGCTGCGCGAGTCATGCCCAATTTCTTCGATGAATCTTCTGTTAAGGAGGACTGCTGCAAAGGTTCAACCTGCATATTTTCTTCAATCAGCTGCTCTTCCAGCTTTTCTTCCACCTTTATTTTACTTCTAAAAGCTCCACAAGTACTCAATTTCATTAATGAATCTTCTGTCAAGAGAGATTGTTGCAAAGATTTAACCTGCATATCTTCTATCAATTGCTCTTCCAACTTTTCTTCTAATATCTCAGCTGTAGGCAATAAAGAGCCCGCCTTCAAAACAGAAGTATAAAAATCTTTCGCTTTTAAAATTGTATCAAGTCTATAGCGTGTCCCCGCATAATTCACCACTATTCCAGCCAGTATCTCCCATCTGAAACGAATCTGTCGCCTCTTAAGCTCATCAGCCAAAAAAGCAAAATGCTTTCTTACTTTGAGAATTCTTGAAGGTAGTTCTTTCAGAAGTATAACATCCTGGGCTGCAATTTGAAATCTCTGCTTGTAAAAGGCTTGTAAAATTTTATTACGAAGTGATCTACTAAAAAAATAAATAACCACATCTCGTGGCAGATTCCTCTGTCTTGCAACCCTTGAGTTAACCCTAAAAACTTTTTCTGTCTCTCTCAATATTTCTTCAGGCTCGGATTCCAAAATAAGAGCTATATCCTTTGCAACCACTTGTCTCAAATCTTCTTGATTATTTTCCTGCATTCCCCTTATTCTTAAAGCAAATTCCATACTTCTGTATTGTAACATAGTAATTTCATCCTGAATTATTTCCACCTTATTTTCTATTTTATCTTCCAATTTTTCAGAATTTTCTACAGCAACATCAATACGCTGATCCAAACGATCTATGTGATCAGCAAACTTCTGAAGCACAGACGCTATATCTTCTCTCAATTTCCTAAATTTATTTTCAATAATTTCACTTATCTCTTTTTCAATCCGTCGTACACTATCTTCCAAAGCGTCCTGTAAGTCTTTAGGTAAAACTGCTGGTAAAGCTGAGAAAAATGGTGGAAATTTAGACTCAACTTGCTGAGCTGTCTGCATTACCGAAGAGGAGATTGAGGCTTTAGAAACAAAAGCTCCAAAATACTTTGAAGCCGTCTTAAAAAAAAAAAAAACCTCTTAAAATCTTATAAAACCTTTAACAAAGAGAGAGAGAAAAGAAGACAAAAGGAGGGGAAAAAAGACAAAAGCCCCCTGTGTAAATAAAAAAAGAAGAAAAAAGAAAGCTGTTACATTGTTTCAAATTAAAGTTCCGGTCCTTTCACTCTTAAAAACAACATCTCAGTGCCATTTTTCACCCCTCTCAAATAAGAAAAGAGAGAAGATGAAATCTTTTCCAGAGTTAAAGTCTCAAAATAATCACAGATATAATCTCCCTGGTCAGCTCTGTCTGCTTTAAATTTTATTCACAAGTTCATTTTGAAAGCAGATGTGTAAGCAGCGTCTAGCTTTGCCCCCCCAAAAAATTAGAGCGAAGGCATCCTGGAATGTGGAGAACACCTTAGACTCCGTGGGAGCTCTCACCCTCCGACCACCAAAGAAAAAAAAACGTTGGGGTCTCTCAGGGAGCCCTGCCACTATTCGAGGGAAACTCATCTCCTCCCCTTCGCCCAGGGAGAGAGATTCCAAGCCGCGAGACGGCTGTTGCTTGCTGTCTCAGCTGGCTTTGACACATTCCAGGGCGGACGGCTGAAAACAGCCGCCATCGGCGCCGCCGTCACAGGAAGCTCCGTGGTTGGAGAATGTTGATATTGGAATTCCACAGATTTGGAGGGATGCCCAGGTTGGGAAAGGTTGTGGGAAAAATATTTAAAACTTGTTTTTTTTAACAAGAAAACAAATAAAACAATATGTATAAAATAACCAGGACAGATAATTTTCAACTACATTTTGAGAACAAAGTTGTCAAATATGGGAATGAACTTCTTTATAATGTATCAGAAAAGAAAAAGCCACATTTAGATTTGCTTGCAAAAAAAAAAAATTGTATATAGAAGATGCAGGGGAAAATAGAGCATCTTAATGGTTTAACCTAAACCTCACTGTAGCTGAGAGGCAATATATAAATTAGTAGCTTGGGTTAGAAAAAATGCTCAGATGATCCAATTGAGTAAGTTAGCAATTTCTAAATAATAGCTCAGATGGGTAAGTAGGATCTTTAAGTAATACAAATGTATTTCAACTTCTGAAGTTTGGTCACATATGAAAGAAGGGGTATGGCTCCTCACTGACCTCAGTCCAGGACACATAATTTGCAGACTAAGAATTATGTGCAGTTCCTTACAAACATAGTGGCAATCCAATGAACCCTTCCAAAATTGCCAACAAATTGTAATTTCTGCAGTTTAAGGAAGGTAAAATTATATTTTGGGGAGCATTACATTAAATATGATCAATATAATTAATTACATTTATAATTAAACGAATCATACCTTTTGCCCTGCTCTGCCAATTTTGGGGGAGAATATGACTCCTGTATGCTACCAAAAGCATTTTGATCCCCCCAAGTTTAAGGTTACTATCTTAAATATGATTTTCGTATGTTTCACATTAAAAGTTCTCATAGACTGAACTTCTAAAATTCGTTAGTATTACCCTAATTTCCAATTGGCATAAAGTGTACTTGGGACTACAGGACTATCTATTTCCATCCTTGGTGTGACCATTTTTTTCTGACAAATTCATTCCTTATTTGAACCTCTTATTGGATTTTCCTAATAAGCTAGATGGAAGCTGGAGTGTTTTATGCTAGGCAATTTTGGCTAGGGTAATGAAAGGAAATGTCTTAATTTAATAATTATAAAAAGTTTCTTTTAGACAGAATTACCTAAACAATCTAAAAGACTTGTCTCTATCTCACAGGTCAAGATCTGGTTTCAAAATCGAAGGATGAAATGGAAAAACTCCAAAGAAAAAGAAGTGCTCTCAGATCGGGATCTGCCAGAGGAAGGTCTTCAAGAGATATATGTTTCCAGGGGTTTAAATTTTTCCTCCTCACCATGTCCAGTCTGGGAAATGTCTCAACAACAATCAAATTCAAGATGGCAGAATTTCCCAGAATGTGCTGGGAGACTGAGTAACAGAATTAGTCTGCAGCCACACATAAAGCCAACTTTGTCTTCCGACACATCATATTTGTATCAAGAAAGAGGCACCATAGACAAGGAACTCTCTCATAAGAACAGTAAAAATGATGGAAACCACTGTTTGAAGTGAACTCTAATTAACTTTATGAGAGAACTGAATTAGATTATGTATTCCATCACTGGTTCAAATAAAATGTAAAACATTTATATTGACATAATTAATAGTTTAACAAATATTCAGTAATTAATCTTCCTTTATGTTCCCTCCAGCTGAAATAATATCTTTAAGTACAGTGAGAGGGAACTAGTGGTAAGTAAAATTAAAGCGTGAAACAATACAAATAGATTTGGATTTTGCAATCAGTCAGATTAAATTAGCATTTCATTATATAGCCATTAATAGGAATTATGGAATTGAGGACATCTTATATTGTATGATATTAAGTCTGCATTATTATAGGGTTTGTGATACATATAAAAATATAGAGAAATAAAATGGAGTTTGATGATCTATCTGTACAGTTGCCTGGTACAGATTACTGAATCTGGGCTCTCTAACCCTGATTTGGTGAAAATATCAGAATTTGTCTTTGAATAAGAATTTGAATAAGCACCTATAACAGTGATGGCAAACATTTTAGAGACCGAGTGCCCAGACTGCAACCCAAAACCCACTTATGCATCGTTAAGTGCCGGGTGGGTGTGGCCCATTGGGTGGGTGTGGCCCATTGGGTGGGCGTGGCCAATTGGATGGGCATGGCTGCAGTGGATAACAGCAGACTGGGTGGGACTAAAAAGTTGAATCAATTCCAACTTTGCAAGAACTTTTTTTTTCCCGTGAGAAGTTGAAATTGACTGATTGAACCTTTTTTTTTTTTGCACATGGCAGCGGAGGCCTAAAGCGAAAAGGTTTTATAAAACCCAGCTGAAGGCCTAGGACTGGGGCGACGATGCACATGCCCACAGAGAGGGCTCTGAGTGCCGCCTCTGGCACCCGTGCCATAGGTTCGCCACCACTGACCTGTAACCATGACAGGACTCCCATTCATTTTTGCTAGTATTGTTGTCATCAAGAAGGGTAGGGATCAAAAGCATCCAAAGGACATTTGTTACATTTACATCATGGGCATATGCAGGGCAAAAGGAAAATAACTTTATGAGAGCAAACATGCAAATTATGCAAATTATGCAATTCAGGTCACTTGTGTGAGGATATCATGATGCTCATAATGTCAATGTGTTTTATTCCTTGTGGCTATAATTCCCATAATTAAGGCAGGGTTTCCCTGGAGTGAAAAAAAGGAAAGTTGTCAGATTTAGATTCCAGTTTTGTACTTATGTATCTAGATCAGAGCATGCTGAGTGACATAGAGTTTACTTATAAATAAATATGCCCTAGATTAGTTTTTCTTTTGCTTTGAATTGAACCAGATAGGAGGTAACAGGTAATCCAAGAAAGGATAATAAAGTATAAAGAAACAAACAAATACATAAATAAATAAATGGTGGGGAACACTCTTGAGTCATTCTGGGTAGTGATGATTGGTGTTAAAAAATATTAAATCCAGCAATGGAACTCCAGATCAACTCCATATATTAGGCTAATGAAATACCTAGTTCCAAAACCATACTTCCCTTTTATTGCATCTCATCTGGAAACTTGAATGAGTTATTTAGTCACTGTCACACAAAATGCTTGGAAATTGTCACTGTATATTGGCTACAGACTTATTCCTGTGGAACAGCTTGCTTTCAGAAATTGTGAGCACTCCATCACTGGAGGTTTTTAAGAAGAGACTGGACAGTCACTTGTCTGAAATGGTATAGGTCAGGGGTAGGGAACCTTGGTTCTTTTATGACTTGTGGACTTCAACTCCCAGAATTCCTTAGTCAGCATGTGTAAGGACCCACCCCACTTTGCATCTTAAGAAGACAGAACTCTTGGAATAATTCTTCCAACAGGAATCCTTTATTAAGAGAAAATGGTTGCAGGCGTTCTAGACAGGACTTGGGGTCCAAGCTCTCCCATTTGAGGTTTTAAGGGGTTCCCCAGTAGTCCCACCCAATCACCCCCCTCTTCCAGTGACAGTTTCAGGCATCACAATCCCACCCCCTTTTCCTTTCTGGATGGAGACTTCAGAGAAAACTACATGAAAGGTAAATAGCCTCCTTTGTTATGATAAGGCCTTTTGCTGCTATCCACATTCAATCCTTTTGAAGTTGTACCGAAGGAAGTGAGGGCCATAAAGCCCCCTTGTTCACCCCCTTCCCTTTCTTGTATGACAGAATCCAGAGAGGGCAGAAATGGGGTTTTCTATAATTGATAACTGGAGATGAAGTGTAATTGGATTCTGACAGCATGGCTGGTTCAGGAATTCTGGGTATTGAAGTCCACAAGTCATAAAAGAGCCAAGGTTCCTTACCCCTGGTAGGTATAGGTTCTCCTATTTGAGCAAGGGCTGAACTAAAAGACCTCCAAGGTCTTTTCCAGCTTCTATTCTATTCTATTCTATTCTATTCTATTCTATTCTATTCTATTCTATTCTATTCTATTCTATTCTATTCTATTCTATTCTGTTCTAAATGATGGCTTTTCTGCCACATATTTATACAAAAGGCGTGAGTAGTAGAGAAATCGTTGACAATGATGAAAAAATTTCAAAAATGTTTATATTGCATTATCTTACAACTTTTTAAAGATTTATTTAACATGCAACGTCACACATTGCAGAAATTCTTATAAATGCAGGACAATTGATATAGCATCAGATTTCTGATTTATATGTATAACTGTCCAGATGACATAGTAATCAGCATACAGGATAGGAATTTGATTTTATACACTTCTGTTTGTCATGGCCATGGGGCCCAAAAGGGCCATATGGCTGCACCTGGTCATTTAGCACTGCGAGGGAGCACATGGATCTTAAAGAATGTTACAAATATGGGTGACTATTACTCCCCAATGCCACAAGGATTAGTGCTATCCCCTTCTCTTTTTAACTTGTACATCCTGAAACTGTTTCTTGGAAATTTATTTATGCTGGTGATATCAGTCTCACAGTCCAAAGAAACAATTTCCGTGATGCAGAGGACATCCTCTCTCAAGATCTCCAGAAGCTGGATGACTACTTCAAAAAAATGGTGCTTCCAACCAAACCTAATAAAACAGAAGTAGCCATATTCCACCTCAACAATAGGTACACAAATTACCAGCCTTCAATGAAGTTCCCATAGTTTATTTTATAATGTAATAACTCTCGGAAGTACCTGGAGTTAACAGTAGACAGATCACTAACCTTTTGGCAACACTTGGAACAATCAACTGCAAAATTGAAAAGCTGCACCAATTTATTGTAGAGACTGACTAGAACAGGGCTAAGCAAACTTGGCTCTTTTATGACATGCTGGCTCAGGAATTCTGGGAGTTGAAGTCTACGAGTCATAAAAGAGCCAAGTTGCCTACCCCTGGACTAGAACATCATGGAGTGTTGATTCTAATACCCTACAAACAACAGCCTTGGCTTTGGTTTATTCCACAGCTAAATATTGTGCATGTGGCTTAACAGTGCCCACCCAAATGTTCATTGTTCGACTCCACCAGACAATGCATATCATCTCTGTCACTTTGCATCTCACTCCTGTGCACTGGTTACCAATACTTAGCAATATCATACCACCCCACATTAGAAGGCAACAAGCTCTCATTCAGCTATAGTCAAGGATGCTGAATAACAAGGCCCTCCCTATTCACCAGGACAATGCACAGCCCATCACAAGATTGAAATCCTGTAGGCCAGCATGGAAAATAGCTATTTACTAAACATCTACCCTGTGTAATCTTGAGAATACCTGGAGAGAGGAATGGTCCAAAGTACTTTCTTGTGGCTTGAACATTAGTTATCCCTCTACTAAACCACCTGGTTTTGATCTGTCTTGCTTTATCTGGTCGAAATTGAATAGAATTTGATATTGGAGGAAGTACCTCTGTCCTGTATCTATGGGAATGGAAAAATTCCCCTGTTGCAGTTGTGCTCATATGCAAACTATTAAGCGTATTATATAAGATTGCCCACAATGTGCATTCTCTGGTTCTCTAGAAGATCTGCATGATGCAATACCAGAGGCATTCACCTGGATAGCTGAATTGGACATCCAGTTATGAAGCCACTGCCATACTTCCAGAGAAGTTTTATATATAATTATGTGGACTGCATATATATGTTTACTTCTCTTCTGTCATGTTCTAGTCATATGCTAAATAATAAGAATAGGAATTCTATGGCATTTAAAAAAATTGAATTTGAATTTTTGTAGCTACACACTTTAAGACTAATCAGAAGTATACTATTCCAACTAAGCATGATTTAGGTAAATAGAGCTGCACATACCTTATATTGAAATCAGTGGAATTTATATGTTGAACTGTTAATTTCTGTACACGCTGATTCTTTTCTAAATCTGCTGAATACTAAGAAAAATATGTGTTGTATCAAAGTAGTCAAATAGGTCAGCTTGGAGAGCAGTAAAAATGACAGCAGATGGATATAAAAAGACAAGCTGCTGTAAATAAAGTTTGACAGCTTGATAAAAGAAGAAAAAAAAATGAAAATAGACCTAGTAAGATTTTTTCAAATAAAGGGTAAAAAAAAGAAAAGATTTGTTATTGCTGTCTAACCACAGAAGCATGAATAGGTCCAATTAACTTAACTTCATCTGAACTTTGACAATGCCCTCACACTCCTGGGGGGGGGGAAGGGAAAGGTAGATGGCTCCAGGCAAGTGTTTTTTTTAATGGAAATATGGCCACCAGCCCCCCCCCCCAAAGCGGTGGTGGTAGATGGAGGAGAAGGAATGGCGGAGGAGTCAGAGGAGGAATCAGTTTAGTTTCATTAACCAGGTGCTGACCATAGTTGAGAAGATTTCTGTGAATAGGCTTTTAGCAATAAATGAGTTACAGTAAATTGAGCCTTCATGTATGGACCTGTTTTTTTGCGCCTAACAATAGAGTCCAAACTCACCAAGGCAAAAATGTGAGTCACAGGACTACTAGCCCCAAAAGGATATTACACCTGAGTTAAAATGAATTTAATTTTTAAAGTAAAACTAAGCAGCTAGCTCCATTGAAGTCCAGTGAAAGTTAATTTGTTTTTAAATTAATTTTAAAATCATAATGCTTTTCTATTTTTAAAATTATACTATAGTTC